ATTAAATATATATACATATATTATATATCTATTAAATCTTCGCCTTACTAAATCGATGAATCTACAATATACTAAAAATAATAGATACCGAAAAGATTAGACAGACCTCTACGCGAGGTAGGAAGTATATTAAATTGAATATCTATTAAATCTAATTAAATCTATTAAATCTAATTGTAAGATTTATTTTTTATTTCTACAATAAATATTAACCTTGTAATAGGCGGAGAGAAGGGGTTCCGCCCCTCCCCCCTGCCTGCGTCCATGCTACCTACTGGGGGGCTTCGCTCCTCCAACCCCCCATCAGAGGCCTTCGCACCCTGAATCTAACACACAGAGGGGAAGGAAATAAACCTTGCTTTACGTGCAAAATTGTAAATTCGTCTTAGAATCTCGCTTTACTTTTATTTTTTATTGCCTCCACTCCCCTCAGACTCTCCCTTAATTATCCTTTCATGTTTTAATCTCTAATTAATCAAATATATAATTACAATACCTATATTCATCTAAATCAGTATAACAATATATAATTTTATTTAAACATTTTTTGTATGAAACTTTGTTTGCGTAGGAAATCCATTTAAGGATTCATTTGACATAATTCCGAGTATTTCTGCCAAAAATCATAACAATTAAGCGTAGGTCGTTTTCGGAAGTTCAACCCACCTTGTATATACAGGGTGGACCATTTTTAATGTGCCACCCCAAATATCTTTTTTCCTACGCCTTCTACTAAAAAATATTTCAAATAAAAGTTTTAGGATTTTAAGGGGTACATTCGAAAGCAGTATTATTGTGACCTTGGGTGGCGTCGCCAAAGGTTAGGTTAAAGTCACATTAATTTTTTTAAATAGAACACCCTATATGTATATGTATACATATATTGATTATATAACGGCAAAAACAAAGATAGCAATAGCAGATAATATAAACTGAGAGTATAAGTAGAAAAAGAAATTGGAAAGAAAGAAACATAAATTTATTGACATTTTTTTCTCCGTAATATCCTTTTTGTAAGCTTAAAATTCTGGATTAAATAGCGGCGTCACTGGCGTCATGATGACGCCGACAACGACTTGGATGGGCGCCACGATGTCGGGGCGTCTCCCGCTTTCGTCCTTTCCCCTAACAGTTCTATGTCATATATTTCATTGAACATGTACACATATTGATTATACAATTAACAAAGATTTTTGAAAATTGCATAAATTACATAACATAAGATATATCTTATTATATTATTCCATTTTGTCTTTTAACATTTTTTTCTATTTTTAACAAAATAAAACTTGTAACTTATTCCAATTGTATAACTCACCCTATACAAGTTATTTTAAAATATCAACAACATTTTAAAGCAACAATTTATCTCTGAGAACATCATGTGTTGCATTGCAGACTGCCGTTGATCATATTAAAAATGTGTTTTAAATTATAGTCTCGGAATCATTCAGATAAATGAGTTTTAATTGCAATTTTTGACTTAATTATCATGCTGATATAATCCTATTATAATCCTCTTACTGCTCGCGCTTATGCCAAATGCGCGTAACTAAGCGCGCAATGTTTTCAGGAGTGATCATATAAGTGCAATAGGATACTAAAGCATTGCAAGTGTTAACATTCTTTGGATTTTTTAACTTAATTTTAATTATAAATATTATAAAAATTAAATAGGAAAATCATTTAACAAAAATCTTACAATTAGTAGTGCTCAGAAAGATACGATTCCAATATAATATTGTAATATTATTAGATAAGAGTTGATTTTATTGTAGTTTTTTGTATTTGTAGACGCTTGACCGTTCCTGAAACAGAACATTATATATTGTGTGCGTGTATATCCATATATATTTTATTTTTTATAAAAAAGAAATTACAAAGGAATTGGAATTGCATCGATTAAGAAATAATGCATGATTATTAAACATAATTTTCTTTAAACTTTTGCAAATTTTTCGGGGAAAGACTCAGAAAATAGAAAAATTAAGAGAAAATACATAAGTTGTAGAAATATTTTAAACATAAATGAACAATTACACATATTGCACAGTAAAATTTCAAATTTTATTAGAATAGTAAAATCCAGAATTTTCAAATCTTAAAGTTTGTTAAGTTTCTCTGATAAGAAAAAAGTATAAAAATTGTTTTGATGTCAAAATTTTATTCTATTACTCATTAAAATTGATAAATATTAGAACTTAATATTATGTCGTTTTAATTTTATCTTGGATAATAACAAATAAAAATAAGCATATTTAGCTTAACTTTTCTACTTATTACCTGTTCCTAGTAAGTAATAATAAAGCTACATCGATTTTTTCATACAATTTTAGTAAATTTTATTAAAATTAAGGATTTTTCGACATATCATATATATGTATATATTGCACAGAAAAAATATCTAAGCTTCAAGAAAGGAAAGCGAGAAGAATCTACAGAGTAGATTGAATCTACGCGTCATACGTATTACAGGAAAGCCTGGCGGACAACATGGAGTAAAATGTCGGGAAAGATCTAGGGTAGGAGTGGGTGGCGAGTAACGCAGGGTGAAGAACGGGAACTCGCGTATTCGCGATCAATCTGTCTACCCGACAACATCTCCCTCGAAGAGTGTTACCCTCTAACGTACAATTTATATCTATATCATCGAAAGGATAAAAGTTGTGCGATCAAAGAAGTAAGATGCCTCGAGTAATTGCGACATCGCTCCTCATTTTAATCTTCGTCATAATGGTTCATTCAGGTAATGTTAAATTATTTTATATTTTTATGTAGTAATATAAAATAATGCAGAAAATAAAAACGTGCAAAGACAAAAAAAATTTTAAATATCTTTATCCAAATTACATGTATTTAAAGTTTTAAGAATATTTTAATTAGATTATTTGGGGAAAGATTAATATTAAAAAGATAAACAATATTTTTTTGTAATATTGAAAATTTTTTTACATGAAAATATTTATTATAAAATAGGAAACATTTATCACAGAATTAGATAACATTTTTTTTTGTAATTTAATAGAAAAGCATTATCTTATTTCAAAATTTATAGACATATAATAAAAATTAAAATTTTGTATAAGTAAAATCATAAACTTAAATATTTATTATACATTACCTTAATGCATAAACTTAAATATTTATTTTAGAATTAAATGTAATAACGATATTGTTAATTTTAACTGACCATTTTATTTATTTTAAAAATTAATTAATTAATTTTATCATCAATTATTAATATTTATTACTTGTGATTTATAAATTTCATATATAATGCTAGTTAACGAATAAAGATTAAAATTAATTATAAAATAAATTGTAGCTGTTGCTTATGCATACATTTATATCACGTTTATTTTTTTATACGAAGATCTATAATTCTTAACAATTTAAAATATCAATGCAAAATTTTTAACAATCAACTAGCGAGAAAATATGTATACGTTGTAATAAAAGCATTAATTACGGATTTAATTAAAATTACATTTATTTCTATTATGAAATAAAAAATTAATGTATTAATAAATTTATTTATATTAATACAAATATTTTTTCATATTTATTTGTTATTGCGCGTTTTCTTTCGTACTTTAAAAGTAGATGAAAGTAGATAACTAAACACAGAAAAATAGGGGGAGAACAAAAGAGTAAGGGGGAGGGGAGAGTGAGAGAGAGAGAGAGAGAGAGAGAGAGAGAGAGAAAGAGAGAGAAAAGAGGGAGGAAAGAAGGCAAGAAGCAACTACGCACAGAAGGGGATAATATGTTATATACAGGATGCTACATATTAAGTGATACAGTTGTTTACCTTTTATAAAATAAGCATGTTTAGGACAAATGTTTTAGATAGGATTATGTATAGTCTAAATGGAGATAAATAATGATAAAATCAATTTAAAAAAAATAGCTTTTTAAAATGATATAAACATCATAGCCATTTTGGTAAAGAAAAGTATATAATTTTTTTATATAATGATTTTTTTAGTTATTCTGCGTATAAATGTATTAAAGAATTACTAAAATATCAATAGTTTATGTGATACTTTATACTTGATTCTAATATAGTTTAAAATATAAACTATCTCTTAAATTATTTATTTTTTAATAACTATATCTTAGTAGTTATATGCACAGAATAATGAGATAAATCAATTGACATAAAGAAAACATATATACCTTGTTGTTTCATAAAAAATACGTATGCACAATGCGTAATTTTTTGAAAACCAACTATACATTTTTATTACATCGGTTGACTCATATCATTAATTTATGCAAAGAAATATTAAGGTACAGTTGTAAAAAAATAGTTTATGTACAATGTAGTATACAGGGTGTCCCAGAATTGGCGCATTCGGAGTACAGGACGTTATACTTTGTGCTAAAAGGAACAACTTTTTCCTTTAGCAAATTTTGATCTGACAAGTAATTTTGGCAGGAGAGCTGGTTAAAGTTAACGAATAATCGCTCTTATCCATGCGGCGCTCAGGACCGGCGCGCGCTCCTCCATTCACTTGTTCCTAATCCTTGGCTAATATTTACAAATAATGTCTTAAGATACTAATACGGCTCTGTTATAATTATTTTACGACA